GGGGGCACAGGGGCCTGCCAGGCCATGGTTGGGGGCTGCAGTGGCCCCGTGGGTGTTGGACCCTGGCAGCTCCCGGGCTTGTGCCTGCCCTGCAGGATCACAGACATGTCCAAAGTGTCGATGAGCAGCCGCCCGGAGCCCGGCTATGAGAACATGGACCACTTCTCCATCAATGTGGACTATGTGGCGGAGATGCTGAGGACCATCGAGTTCCAGACAGGTGCCAGCATCAGCACAGATGCCTCTGTGCCCAGGGGGGACGTGGGCCTGCCCGGGGCATCCAGCCCCCCCTGCCACCTCGTGCCCTGCATGGGGATGCGTCCCATTGTGCACAGGAATGGGGATGTGTGGCCCCGCGGCACTGCCCAGGGACCCTGCAGGGTCAGGCCTGCCTGTGCCCCTTCCTGGCTCCCTTTTGGGGTGCCCAAGCCACAGGGCAGGAGTGCTCCGGCTGACCGGTTGCCCTGCCCCACAGAGCCACTGGGCGAGGATGAAGCTGATGGACCTGGGGACAGCAGCGAGGCCGCGGTGGATGAGGACCGGCTGGACAGCCTGGAGGTGCCTGACGCCACGGAGGGTGAGTCCCTGCTGCGCTGTGCTGTGCTTGGCTGTGGGGGTATCGGGGGGCAGTGGGGTCCAGGGGGCTGCTGTGCCCGTGGAGGGGGAGGATGTGCCGTGCTGTGCCCAGCGCCATGTCCGTGTGGCTGTGCCGTGGCCTGCATGGAGCTGCGCGGGTCCTGCAGCGTGCTGGGGCATCCCTGCCTCCATCTTGTCGCGTGCTTTCCCTCTGCAGATGTGGGGCCAAGGCAGAAGCTGGCAAGCTCTCCCCACGGTGAGACCCTCACCGGTACCGAGGTGGGGTGGGAGATGGGGACAGGGCCAGGCCATGGGTGCCGTGGGGCAGAGGAGGCACCTCCTGGGGACAGATGGGGATGCGGATGGGGGGGTTTCACCCCTCAGGGCCCTCCAGGCTGTCCCTGTCCCCCTGCCTGCAGGGGTGGGGGTCCTGGGGTCCCCACAGTGCAGTGCTGAGCCCAGTTTCCTGCACAGGTCAGCACTGAGCCAGTGCTGTGGGGCAGCATTGGCGCCTGCCGGCTCATCACTGTCCCTGGCACCCTCGGCACCCCCAGCCCTGCCGCTGTAATTCCCCAAATGCTGGAGCTGCCCCTCTCCGACATTAAACCGTGTGCGAGGACGTCATCTCCAGTGTGGTGTGTGGGCTGGGGTGGGCATGGGGGCTGCCCCCTGCACAGCTCCGTGGGGTCTGGCCCTGGCACAGCCCCTGCCCCACGGAGCTGGCCCCC